GTCTTTATGACTGGTATTTTGTGCCAACCTCCTATCTCATTCTGTGACTTAGAATGTCTTAACTGTCTGGGAATATAGCCCGGTAGGTTTCAGCTTAATTTTACCTAGCTCCTATTCAAGATGGAGTTGTTCTGGTTCCCATGCCTCTGACAATATCATGTTAAATAAAGTATAAAATATGCATATTTTGTAGTACATAATACAAAACAAAGTGCTGGATTTGCAGGTATTGAGTGGGCTATGCTCTTGGGCCCTGTGAGGATAAACATTCACTCCATTCTTGCTGCTAGCACTTCGTGGGAAGGTTTGCAACTTGCCAAGCAGAACTATGTTTTTGGTACTGCTGGCATCACAATCACGAAGGCCAGCATTAACAAAACTAATACACGCAAGACACAAGTCTAATTAAAAGCTCTAACTGTAGACATCAGTATATATTTAACAAATATAGAAGGCTAATTATCAACATAGTAAATTAAACATATTCCTCTCTTGAAACCCAAACTCAATATATGAAGCACAAACTCTGAAAATCACTGCTGAATGATAAACGATAACTGTGAAAGATGATGGAGTGTTGGGGATAGTTACATTAAATTAATTCAATTCTATATAATTCTTGCAAACATTCCCTCCTAGAAAAAAACAAAGTATATAACATTCAAAATACCAAAATTCTGCAGAATCTCTCACACACCAACTTAGTTAACTTTCTCAAATCCTTGATTAAGTCTATACTATAACATACAGTTATATGGTAGTCAGAGAACATAATGATCAATCCCAAAAGAAGATCAAGACCAGCAAAAAATCTAGCTATATTCAGAAACAACTTAGAAAGTTTTGACTTATGTTCCTTTCCTACTTAGTGACTGAGAAAGAGACAGAAAATGTATTTTGCCTGTGAAAGTTTAGGGGGAAGAAGGAGAAATACTTGTTTTTCCAGTACCACTAATCAAATGTGGAGTCAAAGGGACTTTTATTATTGAAATAAACTTTGGTGAAATGACAAATGCTCAATCTCTAAAAATATTAGGACAGTTCAGTTTGCTTCCTGTGCCTCAGCTCCCTTTTCCAAGGTAGCTTAATGAAAGGTAGCTTCAATAAAATTTGGCTGCCCAGGCCAGGCGCAGTGGAGCACACCTGTAATCCCAGCACTGTGAGAGGCCGAGGTGGGCAGATCACGTGAGGTCAGGAGTTCAAGACCAGCCTGGCCAATATGGTGAAACCCTGTCTCTACTAAAAATACAAAAGCAACCGGGTATGGTGGCACATGCCTCTAATCCCAGATACTTGGGAGGTTGAGGTAGGAAAATCACCTGAATCCGGAAGGCAGAGGTTGCAGTGAGCCGTGATCGTTCCATTGCACCCTAGCCTGAGCAACAAGAGCGAAACTATGTCTCCAAAAAACAAAAACAAAAACAGAAAAAAAAAAATGGCTGCCTATCTTTTTTAGAGCAGAATCTCTAAAGTTCAGCAGGAATTACTTCAGAGTAGAAAGCACAGAATCCAAGAAAGGAATGTCTGATCTACAATGAAACTGGAGAGTTGTTTCCCCTGAGAAGACAAGGTAAACATTTTTATCCAAGGGAAATACTCATGGGGCAGCCCCTAAACACATGGGGCTCTCACAGTTACAAAATGGGAAAGGGGAAAAGACACACACACACACACACACACACACACACACTATACCTGCCTTGGACTTTAAAAGGAAAAAAAATACATATATGTGTGTGTGTGTGTGTGTATATATATATATATACACATACACAAACATATTCATTGCCATTTTATTCACCCTTCATAGAAACGTATTCTTTACTTAATAAATTAATATGGTATAGTATCTGAAATTTAACATTTTTTTTAACAGCATCAAAGATAATTTCAGTACCTATCCCCTTCCCCCCATCCCCCAAAGTTAATGAGGTAGTAATTCATACTAACTCAAAACTGGGCAAAACAATAAATGACTTTCCATGAAATGGTCTTCTGGGACAGAAGAGAAAATAAAAGATGACAGCAAATAAAACTGCTAAAATTGATATGCTTGCTTTATTCAAGAATAATAAAGTTATCCACATTTTAGCTATGAAATGTAGAACAGTAATTGTGATACTGTGATGGTTAATATCGAGTGTCTACTTGATTGGATTGAAGGATGCAAAGTACTGTTCCTGGGTGTGTCTGTGAGGGTGTTGCCAAAGGAAATTAACACTTGAGTCAATGGGATGGGGAAGGCAGACCCCCCCTCAGTCTGGGTGGGCACCATCTAATCAATTGCCAGCACGAATAGAATAAAGCAGGCAGAAGAAGGTGGAAGGAGCAGACTTGCTGAGTCTACTGGCCTTCATCTTTCGCCCATGCTGAATGCTTCTTGCCCTCAAACACTGGACTCCAGGTTCTTCAGTTTTTGGATGCTTGGACTTACACCAGCGGTTTGCCAGGGACTCTTGGGCCTTCAGTCACAGACTGAAGGCTACACTGTCAGCCCTAATTTTGAGGTTTTGGGACTCAGACTGGCTTCCTTGCTCCTCAGCTTGCACAGGGCCTATTATGGGACTTCACCTTGTGATCATGTGAGTCAATACTCCTTAATAAACTCCCCTTCATATATACATCTATGCTATTAGTTCTGTCCCTCTAGAGAACCCTAATACAATAACTTTCAAAGAAAAGTGGAACATATGATTTTGCTTCCCTGCAACCAGCCAACAATGTCATCTGTTGGAAAGAAACTTTAGAACACTTACGAAACAAACTTAATTGTGATATTTTAAATTCAGCAGGCTCTCAAGGATGAAATTTGAATTTAAATACACTCAACCTGTATTTGTCCAGTATCAGTAGAGGGAAAAAAAATGTTTCCACATAAACAGAAGACAAAAGATTGCTGATATCTTGTTCAAGCACAAACTAGAGTTTGCTCATCTATCTGCATATTTGGGGACAGGGCATATGTAAACTGCAGCAAATTCCATTCAGTCTACAAACTTCTAACCAAAGAAAATGAAGAGCTCTTGCCTGCTAAATGTTCTGCATGCCCTGCACACAGTATTGCTATGAGGCAGTGGTGTCCTGCCCTGTGATGTTTGCCACCTTTCAGTTTCCTCAAAACCTGCAGAACTTAGTGAGATTTGGGCCTTACAGAAATGAAAGGCAATAGCCTCCTTGGACATGAACCTGCCAAATGGCTATCAAGTCACAGAAAAGATGCTAAAATGTTAGAAGATGGTAAAATCGTATTTTCAAAGTGTGAGTCAAGAAGAATGTCCTTCTCTAATTTGGAAATACACTGAGGAAAAGATTGCAGTAAAACAGAAATTCATATTCTATTTCTCCAAAACCGTTTCCTGATCTCAAAAGAGGCCATAAGGAGCCTAAAGAAGGATGAAATGACTGTCCTAAGTTGCTTGATAGTATGTGTAGAAAATTCCTCTACCATCAGGTAATGGGGTTTCAGAGGGAGAAGAGATAAATACACACGGTCACTCTGCTACTTGAGTTGAAAGTATTGTAAACTATTGTTTTCTTGTATCATGTCATTTCATTTGCTCAAAATGTAACATAATACCTTAATATATTTAAATGATATAACCAGAATTTCCATAAGATTTTTGCCATCTAAAAATAGTTTTAAGAAATGCTTGAATGCACAAAAGGTTAACTTTTCACAGAATCTCTTCTACTTCCCCGTAATATTGTTTTTAAAAATTCTATGCCAGGCACGGTGGCTCATGCCTGTAATCCCAGCACTTTGGAAGGCCAAGGGGGGGTGGATCACTGGAGGTCAGGAGTTCAAGACCAGCCTGGACAATATGGTGAGACCCCATCTCTACTAAAAATACAAAAATTAGCTGGGCATGGTGGAATGTGCCTGTAGTCCTAGCTACTCAGGCGGCTGAGACAGGAAAATTGCTTGAACTCAGGAACAGAGGTTGCAGTGAGCCAAGATCGCACCACTGCATTCCAGCCTGGGCAACCGAGCGAGATTCCATCTCAAAAAAAATAAAAATAAAAACAAAAATTCCATAACAGAATTTAGGAAATATTCCCCATAGACATGGATATACTGAAAAATCAGTACATTGTGATGTTGACCTAGATGAATAGTAACTCTTTTATACGTTTGTTTCCATTTGTCAATATTTGACTTTGACATTTAAAAACAGGTATTTAGCAACCACAGTTGAAACCACAGTGAAAAATTACTCCTGGTTTTTGAAAGTTAAGTGTGATTATGTATATACATGAAATCCACATAGCACACAGACCTCCATGGAAAGTATACACATCACAAAGTTCTCTCCCAATACCTGTCCCCACAAGAGATGGTAACATATGACCTTGAATCACACAGGTGATGCTGTCAGCCTGATGAGGGTAGAGATCTATTTTGAAAACAGAACTCAGAAAACTACGGGGCAACACTGCCTTGCCCTCAGAAAGGAAAGAGAGTGTGAAGCGTAACCTTTCCCTCTATCTTCAGAAAAAGATGACACATTTTGGCATCATAAAACTGTCCTTGAAAATGTTACTTCTGATAAAGTGTTGTAGTCTCAAAGACACTCAGACGCAGAAGCTATTGCTGCACTCTAGGAAAGTAACCTTTAACATAAAATCCGACTAGTTGGTTCCCTGAATAATACATTGACTTGGCAATGATATTTAAAACTGACACCTCTGTTTTCTGAAAGAAGTAAATACTTGTGTGAGTTTTATTTTTATGTTACTTTCTTCTTCATCCACATGCATGAAAGTCAAAATAAATGAAAGTTTCAACTCCATCAGCTTTCTTATTTAAAAGGAAAAAAAAATTCTGAGTCTTGACTCATTTAAATTAATACAGAAAAAGAAAAAATGACAGTATAAGTTCATTTTAAAATGAAAATTATAAGGATAACTGGAATTTTCAAAATTATACTTTTATTCCTGAAATTTTATCCTTATAATGTTACACATGCTGTATCCAGAACATCTTCAAAAACAATACTTACTGTAATTGCCAGGAGATTTTTCTTCATAAGTAAAATGAAGTTGTAATTCCTCTTCCGACATCTGACAGATGAACACTTTCAGCAAACAGCAAATAATAAACAAAGCATTGTGTGTCTGCCAAATGAAGATGTGGCTAGAAAGACCAAAATCATACAAGAATCAATATTTAAACATTAGCATCACGGTTTATTTCTAGTTCATTATTTCTTCCTGATCTGTCAACCATTTTGTCCATCCTAATTGGTAATATTAGGACAATGTCCATATATTTTAATGGCTCATGATTTATTATATTGTACCAGCGATATTATGTTTTACTTCATAGTTCATTCCACATATTTTACATAGTGAATCTACTTAATAAAAATCTTTACTGATGACTGTAGGAACGACTGTTCTTTGTTCTTAACAGGTATACCACATACAGGCAATTAAAAGAGAAGAAGGCTACAAAAAAAATTTTTTTAATTGTGGTAACTTTAATAAAAAGAATATATGCAAATATGTAACCAAAATTTTCAAAGAGGCACTGCCTGCAGCACAGTAAAATACTTTTTATTTGTATTAATGACCATGAACTCCCAAGAAAAACTTTATTGGATTCAATGTAATTTGTTTATAAGCAAGACAATGCAAAATCTTTTAATCTTTTCAGAGACTGACACCCAAACATGGTTTTGAAAAATGCTTCAGTGCATAAAAAGTTAACCTTTCATTGATGTAAAGAATATGACGGAAATAACGGCAACAGATGTAGAATGAAATGAAACTCAAACTAAGTCATCATTTAAACTAGATAGCAGCAGCAGTGATAATGGGGGCGATTACCTTCTTAATGATAATTACATCATTATTCATCTTCTTAAAGCATATAAAGATTGTCTGAAAACCTGAAATCAAATTCCAAAATCTATAATCTCACCCCAGTGACTTAAGACACTAACCTAATACCTCTTTTACCTTTTTTCCTTAATAATAAGAATAATTCCTTCACAGAGATTTTCAAAAGACCACAGTCCATTTCCACCAATAAATGAAAACTAAAATTCACATTGTTAAATATAAAGCAAACATGGTTTAATTAGCCAGCTTACTTCTGACATTCTGCTGAGAGTTTTAGTTCTTTGGTTCTAGAAAGGAAGACCTTAATCAGTGCACCAAGATTTCCTGTTCGAGGATTGTTTTCAACTGCAAGAGAAGAAAAGGTTTTAAAAAGTTAAATTTAAGAACTAAAATCAAAGTGAGCTTATCATAACACTTATAAAACCAAATGCCATATTGAAATTGCTCAGTGACCAACCTTACTGTTAATTTCACACCTAATTACAGAAATAAGCAATGAGAGAAACTGCTGCTCTTGGTCTTAATTCTGAACATCAAAAACTGATCTGCAAAATGAAAATGATAGAAACAGTACAAGTAGCCATCTTATCTCAGAATCCAAAATCATAAAGGAAAAAATAATAGTTAACAGACATAGTCAAGTTACACACTAAATCTTTCTCTAGAAAAGATTTTTAAAAACTCAAAAATTATCATATGTCCCCAGTATATAGAATATAATAAACTATAAAAGTTTATTAAATCTAAAACACCATCCAGATCACAAATCATTTGAATGAAAAATTAAGAAAATATATCAACAAAGCGGTGTGGCTAGAGGGGGAGCTATTTGACCAGCCAAAACTTAAAAGAATTTGTTTTTAACTTTAAATGACGGGCACTTCAGCAACTGTATCAGTAATCAGATTTAGTTTCTAGATCCAGGTCTATAATTAACTGAATACTGAACCTCAGACAAATCACTTTACTTCTCCAACCTCAGTTTTCTCATCTGCAAAAGAAACAACAGCTAACATATGATGAACAACATAGAGTAGGTGCTTTACATGCATTAACTCATTTAATCTTCACACCAACCCTCCAGGAAAAGCACTAGTATTGCTTCCATTTCACAGATCCTCACCTGGAGGTTGCTACTTGCTCAAGGAAACATCCTTATCAACTGGCTCAAATCTTTGACTTTAAACTGCTAGGTGAAGCAACCTCTATAATCAAGAAATTGGACTTAATGAAACTATAAAGCTCTACTAGGCTGCACAGCAAGTCACAGAAGCATGGAAGCTAAGAATTCATCAGAAGGGAGAGATTATTTTGTAGAACCTTTCATTTGACTGATGAAGAGACAGGCTCAGAAAGGGTAAGCTCTGGGCTTAAAGTCAACAATATGTTAGTAGCAAACACAGTCTTCTTCCTTCACCAGTGGTTTTCAAAATATGAGATTCCAGAGTCCTGGATAATTGTTTCTCTTCTGAAGTGTATTTTTAACTAGTTTGAAAACTGGAAATGCAAACACTCAAACACACTGGCTTGGGGAGCCAGGAAAGTTCATTCTTACGAAGATCTGGGAATTTTGCATATATTTGAACTTTTTTTTTTCAAATGTAGAAACAGGGTCTTGATCTACCACCCAGGCCGGACAGCAGTGGTGCAGTCATAGCTCTCTGCAACCTTGAGCTCCTGGGTTCAAGTGATCCTTCTGCCTCAGCCTCCCAAGTAGTTAGTGCTACAGGCATGTACCACCATGCTCAGCTAATTGTATTTTTTGTAGAGATGGGATGGCCCTATGTTGCCCAGGCTGGCATATTTGAACTTATTGAAATGTGTCAAGATTTGAAAAAATGAAGTTTTCCAGAATATTTTTTTAAAATTCAGGCCCATACATATATATTTTAAAATATTATACATGGGAGTAAGTACAGCATTACAGCATACCTGCATTGTGCTTAATAACTGCCAGGCTCACTCCCTGCTGCATATGTATTCTTGTCATGACTTGAGAGTCAATCCAAGTAATTGCCTAACTTTCTAACTGTGATAAAATGACAAGCACTTTGCTATTCCAAGTGTGGCTCATGGACTGGCCACAACAGCATTATCTGAGAGCTTGGTGGAAGTTCAGAAGCTCAGGTCCACCATACTTCTAACTGAAGTTGACAGTACTTCTCAAAGTTTAATGTGTATTTAAATCACAAGGCATTCTTATTAAAATGCAAATGGACTCCACATGTGAAATGTGCACTGAGATTCTGCATCTCTATCGCTCCCAGGTGACATCCACTGCTGCTGCTGCTAGCTGAAGAATACCACTGTGAGTAGCAAGGTGCAACATTTGTTGTCAATCAGCAGTTTTTGTCCAGCCTTCACAATCAAGAATAGATATGGGGGGGTGACATTCAGCCAGTCGTTCCGGGCGACGGACTTTGCATTCCAGAACCATGGCCCAATTTGTCCGTAACCTTGTTGAGAAGACCCTGGCTCTGGTGAATGCAGCTGTGACTTACTCGAAGCCTTGATTGGCCACATTTTGGTATTATGCCAAGGTTGAGCTGGTTCCTCCCACCCCTGCTGAGATCCCTAGAGCTATTCAGAGCCTGAAAAAAATAGTCAATAGTGCTCAGACTGGTAGCTTCAAACAGCTCACAGTTAAGGAAGATGTGCTGAATGGTTTGGTGGCCACTGAGGTGTTGATGTGGTTTTATGTTGGAGAGATCATAGGCAAGCGTGGCATCATTGGCTATGATGTTTGAAAACCAATCTTTAACATCTGGTTATATTTGATTTATTATTTGAGTGTTGTTGGACTATGTGTGATCAGACTGCTATCTGAATAAAATAAGATTTGTCAAAAAAAAAAAAAAGAATAGATATGTGATAAGATAGTAGATAATGTTAAGAGTTTCACTTTGAAACAAAAATGTCCTATTCCTCTTTCAAGTTTTAGTGTTAATGAAAAAATACCCAGAGACCTCAGGATAAACTTTTTAAGAAAAAACAAACAAACAAACAAAAAAAACAGCTAAGGTTTGCAAGTGCATCTCTGTGGGACTTTATCTAGCTATTGTAAATCCAAACAAAATGCTGAAACAAACTAAGCTGAGGGTAACATGACTACAATCATCACTCAGATCCCAACTTTGAAATCTTTGTTCATTCAACAGCCCCCTTTATTACTGAATGGCCTTGTAATTGTTGAATGTATAAATGATTAGCTATTTAAAAAAATAAAACATTGTGTTTTTGGAAAGAGTAACCAGACTACTTGAGTGATATAATTAAAGCGCTGTGTACCTTCTTCATTCATTCATTCAATCAGCATGTATTTATTGAGCTACTCATATGTGCCCACACTGTTTCAGATACTAAGGAAATATTTGTAAAGAGAACTCCCTGTCTTCGTGGAGCTTACCTACCAAGACAGTTAAAAAGTTTCCATGATACTCTTTTGGATAAGATGAAGATTAGGGTAGTAAGTTAATAAAATTAAATACACTCAATGATTTTAAACAATACTCCATGGTAGATTCAAGATTCCAAAATATCTCAATGGTAGAAGAAAAGAAATTTTACATGATCACAGTTAATTGGTGCAAATAAAATGCTATGTTGAAGCTGAATGAGCTTCGGGAACCAGAGTAACAACACAGGAGGTCCAATCGGAAAGCAGAAAAGTGTAATAGGACTAGATTACAGAATCTGACAAAGTTCAAATCTCAGTTCCACCACTGACCAGCTGTAGAACACTTGGCAACTTACCAAACTGGCCCCTGCCTCAGTTTCCTCATCTGTAAAATTAAGATAACAACAGTGCTTGATAAAGAGCTAACTTACCTGGTGCTAGAGCTTGAACTTGTAGCAGTCTGTTAACTAGTGATGCTCGTGTAAAGAAGGGAATAACCCCATCTCTACAAGAATTCAAGCAAAGTTTGGGTAACATTCAGATAAGGGTATTGTAGACAGGATTTCTGTTTGAGATGAGAGATTAAATTTGCTTCTAGCCCCTGAAACAAACTTTTCTAAGATCTCACTGAAAGACTCATGAGCTCTAAAATCCAACAACCAATGTAGAGAAAATACAGAGGAGAGAGGACAAGATGACCCCACACAGGGATACAACGAACAAAATCTACATTGTGGGAAACTCCACCACTCAGTTTCTTCAATAAATACACTGAGAGAGGGAAAAGAAGAAAAAGACAGATGAAAAGGGAAACTTGCTATGAAAAGAAATATAAAGACATAACCAAAAATAATGTGTGAACTTATTCGGCCCCCAGTTCAAACAAAATGAGACAATTACAAATTTGAACACTGAATATTTTGTGATATTAAAAGTTGTTTTTTTCATAAGATCGTGGTACTTTTTTTTTTAAGAATCCTTATTTAGAGATACATATTCGGCTTGGACAACACAGCAGCATATGGTGGAGGGAGAGGTAGAAAGACACTGATGCAGATGATCAACCTGGGAACTTCAGAATTCCCTCATACCTCAAAGCCAAGAAGTGAGGGTAATGAAGGTCCCATTTAAACTAAGAAGACTTGGACAAATAAAACCTTCTCGGGCTCTATAAATTAGGTTGGGAAATATTATCAATTTGCTCTCAAACTAAAATAACAGCAGATTCAACAAGCATCTATAGGATCTACACAAGCAACAGAGGAAATAAACACAGCTTCTCTGGGAGCAAACAAGGCACCTTCATGGGTTATACCCCATCCCCTTACTCTGCTTTATTTTTCTCAACAGCCACCATTATATAAACTAGATATACTTATTAATTATCTGGCTCCTCAATGAAATAAATAGATCCATGAGGTCAGAGACCTGGGTCAGTGCTTTTTGCAGTCACAGCCCAAGCTTATGGGATAATTCCTGTAATATAGTAGGTGCTCCATAAATACGTTAGTTTAATGAAAATGAGAAAATAATAACAACAGCAACCAGAGGATAAGAAATGAGTTACAGTGAAACCTCAGAAGAAAAGCTAAATCAAAATTGCCAGAAGAATTTTAACACATAGCAATCAACAATGGACAATAGGAAAATTAACCATCTATTTTTTTAAAAAGAACAGAAATCCATTGGGGGAAACACATGTAATGAAAAGAGAGCAAGCCAGGCACAGCAGCACACACCTGCATCCCAGCACTTGGAGAGGCCAAGGTGAGAGGAATGCTTGTGGGCAGAAGTTCAAGACCAGCCTAGGCAACATCACAAAACCCCATCTCTACACAAAATACAAAAATTAGCCAGGTGTGGTTGTGCATGCCTATGGTCCCAGCTACCCAGGAAGCCAGGCAGAAGGACTGCTTTGAGCCCAGGAGGTTGAAGCTACAGTAAGCCA